TTAGAAATTTGAGTAACAGATAGGTAATATATAAGCCACTTATTAGTGTCCCAACTTAAGGCTTAACGCATTGGGCCAGCCAACATTTGTGCACTTTCATTGGTTGGTGTTACCCGTCGTCTTGTCAATAAATAGCCAACCAGCTGTCCATGCATTCCTTCTGATATTACACGTAAAGGCAGAAAGTCAACGCATATAATGACGTCACGCGTACGAATAGGTCAATTCCAAATTATCAGATATATGGTAATAGAAATGAATGCATTTCTATGATTACTCGAAAAATTAAATATTTATGTAATCTATGGTACTTTGATCATAATTGTTAATCAAATATTATTAACACGTACTACAGTGTATTATAGAGAAATCCCAATTTATGAAAATCCTTTTGTTTTATTAACAATTCTAATATATTAATGGAAACCATTAAAAGTCCAAGGAACTAAAATATAAAATTTACTAATCAGTTATTTATTAGCTGAGATGATCGATGATAAGAATTGAGAATTTGATAGCATATATCCCTTACCTCAACATTATAGTCTTACAGATAATAAGCAATTCATTAGACTAATGATCCAAATCACTTTTACGAATAAACCTATTAAGCTTACTGAATAGTCTTCAAAAAGTTCAGCTTTGATCGTTATTAATGTGAAATGATTAATTACAATTTATCGCATTTAATTTAAATAATTTGTATTTCAGCCCGAATTATTTAATTATTTACCTATTTTTGCTATTTTTGATTATTTCTTAAATACATTAATCATTAAGACGAGTCGATACACATCTAGTAAACTGAAATTACGTGAAACAACTATATAACAAATTACCTTTTGGACCATGATGTTTGCGCTGCGTTCCACTGAGAATCTACAATCATTGATGAGTTTCGAGCATCATGGGGATGTGTCCACTGATAAGGAGGATGACTTCCGTATGTATATGGTTGAGACCATTGTCCTGGTGGTAATCCAAAAGTGTTTCCAACATATTGGAGTTGGATATTATTTGCTCCATACGGATAAATCATGGGTTCTTGAGATACAATTGGATTATAAAAAGACGTTATTTGTCCTGTCTGCTGGTTTGGAATAATTCTAGGTGGTTGTATAGACTCCCATGGATGCGATGCATATCCAGGTGGATGCAGTGGAGGTGAAATTATTTGACCTGACGTATTAGCAGGTAAGGCTCCCGCAATGTGAGGAGGTATAGGATTTAACGGGCCATATACGGACATATTTCCTTGAATTATTGCTGGGTTTACCGCTGACGCGTTTATCCTGAGCGCATTCGAATTGGTTGTTGATATATTTGTTCTAATAACTTCGGTTTGCTTAGCATTTGATGATATTACATTGTTTTTAGCCGTTTTGATCTGCTCAACACCTGACACTTTTGAATCTGGTCGTGTACCTGATGAAGGATTTGATAGATCTGACGATATTAAAGTTCCAATTAATATATTAAAGCTATTAATGGTTGCAGACTAAGCAACAGCTTAA